GCAAAATAGTATGGGTGAGGGGTGAGGTTGACTATAAAGGGAATTTTTTGGTTGCTGGAATTGTTTTCTCATGACTATGGTGATGAGTACATGACTATGCATTTTTCAAAACCTATAGAACTGTACACCACAAAAAGTATTACTATATGGACATTTTAAATAAACTCATTCATTCACTAAGTAATTATTTTACAGTCTCCTTCACTCACTACTAATTAAGAATGGCCTTGTGAGATTCAGGCAAGAAGCACCAATGCATGCTAAATCTAGGGGATAAATATTTAAAAACTGAGTTTAATTGATATGTAACAGTACATTAGTTTCATGTATACAACGTGATTTGATATATGTATATATTGTGAAGTAATCACCACAATAAGTGTAGTTAACATCCATCAGTACACAGTTATAAACCTTTTTTTTCTTGTGATTAGAACGTTTAAGATCTACTCTTAGTAACTTTCAACATACAATACAGTATTACTAGCTATAGTCATCATGCTGTACATTACATCCCCAGGACTTACTCATTTATAACAAAGCTTGTACCTTTTGACCACCCATTTCACCCATATCCCAGCTCTGTCACTGGCAACCATCAACCTGGTCTCTGTATCTATGAGTTTGGGGGCTTTGTTTTCTTTTGTCTTGCTTTAGATTCCATATATGAGACCATATGGGATTTGACTGTCTTTGTCTGACTTATTTCACTTATATTTCTTTATTGTTCAGCATTAAACACGTTATATCACCATTTTTGCAATAATTTTAAAGGAATTTTAATACCAGCCTGAGCCAGTTCCACATTGAAGGCTCTCAGTGCAAAAGCAGAGCTTCTGGATTCTGTAGGAAGCAGCAGGGAGCATAAATAGCCTTCATAATCTCGTTTCCTGTAACAGATAGGCAAAAAAAAAAAAAAAAAAAAAAAAAAAAGACAGTTACTTTTGACTTCCAAACTGCACACAAAAAAATACTAACCAGAATTACCTGAAAATAATGAGGCTTCAATTCAAAAAAGGCCTGAAATTTCTTATATTCTATACCTGTTTCTCTACAGTTACTAAAAATGTATCTGCCTACAATCCCAGACCAGTTAAAAATAAGAAATAATTAATCTCCATTAATTTATTTTGCCTTATATAGTACTTATAATTTTAGTGGTTTCAGAATCACTTTGTAAGAATTCACATGAGCTACCAAAGTAGTTCCAGCAAGTCCTGGTATGAACTCGCAGTTTTTAATACATAGATAAATAAACAGATAAGACAGAAAGACAGAAAACAATAGAGGGGTGTGGGGGTGCTCGCATGTATGCACACCCACTTGTTTCCTAGCAATATCTGCTGAGTGAGCCTAGAAGCAATGCTACTCCTCCCACCTTGGCCACAGTATCAGCGAACACACCCAACACCTAGATCTTGGTTTCTAAATACCTTTCTCCACTGAAAAAACAAACAAACAAACGCTAAGAATCCTTGGAGGAAAGACTGACTCCAGGACTGGGGTGGGGAAAATACAAGATAAGCCTGAAACACCTTCTTGAGCAGAAAGAAATGTTCAAAGAATGAAGGGGTTTGTCAAAAGGACAAAGAAATGGACATGATCAAGTTCCCTTTGGCCACATCTGGGACAATTTGAACATCAAGAAATAATGACAGTTAACAGACTGTAACAGGACCCCATGAGCCTGTATCATAAATGAAAGAATAAATACCCCTGGCTGGTGTGGCTCAGCGGTTACGAGCATCAGCCTAGGCACAGGAGGGTTGTGGGCTCAATTCCAGGTAAAGGGCATGTACTACCTGGGTTGCAGGTTGGATCCCTGGTCCCAGTCAGGGCACGTGCAGGAGGCAACCAATAGATGTGTCTCTCTCACATCGATGTTTCTCTCTCTCTCTCTCCCCCTCCCTCCTTCCCTCCCTTCCACTCTTTCAAGAAATCAATGGAAAAAATATCCTTAGGTGAGGTTTAACAACAACAAAAAAGAATAAATAGGAAGGGAAGAAAACACTTAATAACCAGTACAACATCAACTGATAAACCTAGAAAACATGTTATTTTTTAATCTTCATTTGATAACTATCAAATAACTGATTCAAGCAAAAAAATCAATAAGTGTCTAGAAAAGTTAAATAGATGAAAGCTGGATAGAAATGGGATACTTATATAGTACTGAACTCCTCACTTACTAATCAGCATTCTTTTTTAAAATATATTTTATTGATTTTTTTACAGAGAGGAAGGGGGAGGGATAGAGAGTTAGAAACTTCGATCAGCTGCCTCCTGCACGCCCCCTACTGGGGATGTGCCCACAACCAAGGTACATGCGCTTGAACTGAATGGAACCTGGGACCCTTCAGTCCGCAGGCCGACGCTCTATCCATTGAGCCAAACCGGTTAGGGCCTAATTAGCATTCTTATTCATTAAACTTATAGGGGAGAAACTTGAAAGACACCTTCTCAACCAAGGAATAAAAAGTTCACATCCCAGGACTAAGATAAATCAATGTCGTGTGCTTCTTGACAGGATGCTAAGAAAGCACAGCAGGACTTGTCCAACACACCGGCCAGAAATGCATAAATCAGGAGGAAGCATTAAGTAAACCCAAATCGAGGGGTTCTATGAAGTAGCCGGCCTATTCGCTTTTAAAAACGCCAAGCTCAGAGAGAAAGCGGGGGAGCGGGTGGGGTGAGAGGTCACCCAACGGCCTCGTGTGTGTGCGTATCAGCATGACCCACGGACACCGGGCGGTGGGGGCTTGTCCTGGGGGCGGGAGGGACGGGGGAGGGTGTCAATGGGGGAGGGGGGGAGAAGGAGACACATGTCATACTTTAAACAATGAAAAACAAAAATAAAATTGACATGAACCTAAAAACAAAAACAAAGGTCAAGCTCATGAAAGACAAAGACTGAGAACCGGTTCCAGGTTGGAGAAAACGAAAGAGATGTAACAACGAAAGGTAGCACGTGATCCCAAATGTAACGAAGGACATAATAAGAATCACCAGCAAAATCCACACCGATTCTATGGGTTAGAATCAGTGTCTCAACCTTCTGGCCCTTTAAATACAGTTCCTCATGTTGTGACCCAACCATAAGATTATTTTCGTTGCTACTTCATAACTGTCATGTTGCTACTGTTATGAATCGTCATGTGAATATCTGATATGCAGGATGGTCTTAGGCGACCCCTGTGAGAGGGTCGTTCGACCGCCGAAGGGGTCGCGACCCACAGGTTGAGAACCGCTGGTTGGATGGTCACATCGGGTCCATTTCAATGCCCTAACTTTGACAGCTGCACCGTGACCACATGGGAGCGAACCCTGTGCCCGGTCCTCACGCCCCACGCCCCCTCTCCCGGAAGCCCCCCGCGCCCCCGGGACACAGGAGGGAGCGGTCCCGCCCGTCCTTCGGGGCCCCGATTTGCGGCCCGCCCCCCGCCCCAAGGCCGCCCCCGTTGTTCCCCACCTTCCCGGGGGGCAGGGCGGGGCCCCCTTCAGCTCGAGACAAGTAAGCGGCCCGGGCCCCCCCCCGCCGGGTTCCCGTTGGGTTGCAGGCAAGCTCCCGCCCCCGAGCCCGCGGGCCCCCAGGGGTCCGCGGCCCGGGGGCCCCATACTCGGGGCCCGCCGGGCGAAGGTGGCCCCCAGGCCC